ACACAGACAACCCCGTGACAATATGCGTTTTTTAACGCTGTTACACAGCACAAAACGCATAAAAATGCACGGACAATAAGCGTAAAGGAATGATAGCAAAAAAACACATAGGTCGTAGTAACTAACCTGAGGAGTCATCATGATGAATCCGAACGTTAGCAAAAAGCTATAAAGCATACTCAGAATCCAGCTGTACCAACCACGCTGTTCCACATAAATCAACGAATAGACCGCATAACCAGCAAGTAGTGGGAAAAGCAACCAAGACAGGTATTTGAATGCCAGCTGAATAAATGCACCGTTACTACGGGGATCAATGTTTGTTATAAGAAACTCTCCTCCCCCTTCTTCCTAGTGGCACAGCTATCAGTGCTGCAAAAATCCGGGTCTAAGGCTAAAACTAAAGTAAACTAAAGCCCAAAGTAACTCTAAGTAGCTCTATCCCTAGTTGTTGCATGGTTCTAGGGTTGGAGAGGACTCTTTTCCACCCCCTTTGCTCCCTTCCCCCCGTTTCCCTAGGAGTTCGCCCTAGATTCGTCTGTGGCCTACCCACCGGCACACTGGATGCTGAGAAAATAACAGCGTCTTCGAGTTTTATTAATTTCATCAAATATTGTTTCCCAGTTAATTTCAAAAGCAAAACCGATATTACACCTTGTTATAAAAAGTGTGGGAATGAGCAGTGGTGAGAAGACATCCCTAACAGCAGCAACGATCAGAAGTAAAGGCAATTTGCTCCTCACTCTTCTGAAAGTTGCTCAGAACTAAACCGATGGCGGTTCCCACTCACTGACATGTGATGTATTGATTTACCATCAAAATGTGCCGTAGGGGGATTGGCCTTTTACTGAAAGAATCGAATTATCGACTTTTATCCTAAAAGAACCAATGCACTGTCTGCCACCGCCATGTTAAGCTATCAGCCAAGACCGACATTTTATTTTTGGTCAAAATCGAGTATCCAAGAGTAGACTCCAGCACAGGTTAGCAGGCTACATTTCATGCTTATCCAGCAACAACAAGCACTTTTTTACTCAAATCATTAAAGCGTTTTGCAGCTACGGAAAATCAGAGGATTTTTCGTCAAAAAAAAGCTCTAATTTGTGCTATATAAAGTCATTTTACAAAATTAAACGTGTTTCCGCATAATCCCATCCTTAATTGTCCATTTTAGAGTCGCACGGTATCAGCTCGCCCCCAAGCACTGACACGATTTATGACTACTCAGGCGTGAACAGCAGACCTTTCAGAATCTATTGGCTAAAGAGATTCACACTTAGCGAAGAATGAAACTTATACTTAACAAAAGAACTAAGTGATAATCCGGCAAGCGGTAAACTGATAAATGCAGCAAACTTGCCTGGTCGTACTGCTTTGTGTCCGATTCAACATAGGATCCTTTATCGGAGAAGGTTACCTTTGGAATTAAACCCAAAATTTTTCTGTTTCGATCAATCTGCAGAACGTGAAAATTAGGGTCTGCAATATTTGTCAACAGTGATAAATCGCAGAAAATAACTAATCTAATTATGCTCATTTTTGAAATGGCCAGACAAAGAACTCCCTTTCCTACCAAAAACGGAGAACAGATGCGTTCGGTGGATGATTTTTGCTACCGCTATAAACTGCAGGAATAAAGTACCGAAGCTTACATTTATATTAACGCATTTTGGGATCTTCCAGAGCTCAATCAGCAAACCAACTCCAACGGATAGTTTCACAATCCATGATGTGTCGTTGTCGCAGATATAAAGGAATACGATAACGGACTGGAAGACGCTGAACAGCACCGAGCGAACGGAAAGGCCCTGTAATGCATGGAGCATGGAGGCATTATTTAGTAGCGAAGGTATTTCATGGATGAATTCTCGACAGAATGTCTTGCATTATCATACCTCTAAGCTTTTACGCGACCTCCAGAACTGGATGTCATTCTTGAAGGCCAGAAATTCGAAAACAGTGTGCAACAACGAAACAACAAATGTCAATCCTGCAATAATCCATTTTGAGGGTTTAGAGGGAAAAAGCCAGTCAACTACGTAATATTCCCTCATTGCAATTTGTTGAAACTGAAGCTGTAAATCAGCGGAATATCTAAAAATACCCAATCAGACGGAGAATCAAATGAAATGATAGTGTGCATGGAAAAGGAAAGAACCAATCCACACACACTGGGGAGCAACAGTTCCGCTGAGAGATAATCAAACAATCAAAGAAAAGTGCTAAACATGGCTATGAATGTCTAATTATCAACAATTAATTATAAGACCAATAATTATTCTATTTTAAGCAAAAGCCTGCCAAACCACGGATGTTGCTGTTAAGCTACGAAATGCTAATCCACCAACTACAGCTTGTGACTGACCAAGTAAAACAGGACTCGTCTCCAGAAGTGCTTGCTTAATTGAATCCTGGTCATCGTCGCCATTCTCAAACAGCTCACCACCAAACATTTGCGACCATTTACCGCGCATCTGAAAAAGTGAAAATCCCTAAAACTTATTACACCATAACTATATTTATAGGATTAGAAGCTGAAGACCATACACTAATGCGCAACGGCCTGCACTTATTTGTTAAAATCCCCTTCAGAAACCGAGAATCCTTTCACACTACACATATGAAATAATTAGCCAACGAATGGGCTGCCCGTGCGATGATGCATTTTTTACATAGCTCCCCGCAGATTTTTGTCGCAAACGGCACTGGTTTTTCCGGTAGATGCTTCTAGCTAAAAGAATTTCAGACTGGCCGTCAGGACTGTTAGGGAACATCCCTTCAAAATTCCAGTCTCCTACCTTCTCAGACTCCCGAGTTAACGACTTACCCGAAAAAATTTTGGCAGGTCCGTACGTGAGCACTACGTTTACCCGAAGGCTGGGTTTGAGCTCATTAATACCTACTTGGACGGAGAACGTCCCCTTAAAACTTCAGCCTCCCAGCATTCCCGAGTTAGGAGCTTATCCGCAAAAAATTTTGGCAGGCTCGTACGTGGGTACCACGCGGGTAAAACCGCCCATTTTGTGGATGGGGGCCCGTAAATGCATGTAGATTAAGTTTCCAAAATTTCTGCCCCGTAGCTTTCGTAGGTCTCGAGATGAAAAATCGGTACAGACGAACACACAGACACACACACAGACAACCTCTCTTTAACATGCGTTTTCTGCATTGCATAGCTGCAAAAAATGCATAAAAAGCAGAGCACTAAGGTGAAAGTTCAAACACTACCAGTGGCAAGTCTTTCAAAGAAACTACATTTCTTAAGCCTGCTCGATATGAAGGTTGAAGGCGATTTAAGTTCCAAGTGTACAAAGCAACAAAACCAATCAAAAACAAATTCATTCGTATAGCTGTGGTCTCGCCGTTTGTAATCAAATGAGGAGTTTCGAACGAAGAATCCGCCAATGAATCATTCACACACGCTTTTGTAAGAATGCGCTCCTCCAGTCACTCAAACAAACCCAAAAATCAATCAAAGCACACACTTCCATCCTGTTCCAAAAAGAACACGTTATGCGAAGCTCATGCACACAATGAGTTGCATGAAACTGGCTTCTTCAACAGAAAAAAGATGAGATCGACGTAGCATCCCTCCAAAAATGCTAATAAATATGAATGGTATTTGTTCAAAAATCGCAGATATACCTGCTGCGATGCATATAACTGCCACTTGAACAATGACATCGGAGCGAACCGAACAGTTAACTTGAGCTCCTGCACAGTCTCATTAATTGGCATGTAATCGGCGCCCAGATTCCAGTAATCGTTGAAAAAGAATATTGGTTTATACGTGTTATCAATTGGATCAAATTTTACGGCCTCATCCAATGGAGGTGGCAGTGAACCTGAAACAACAACAACAGCACAGTTACCACTGAGTTAGCGCTGAAAAATCAGCAAAATTCAAGCATTTACTGGGGCAAAACACAATCGAT